CGCGGGTGGCCCCGTTCGGGGGGGTCGTTTCCCCTCCAATCCCCGTGCATTAAATGTTTTTGGGGGCGGGGGGGTTGGTTCGCCTTATCCTTGGGGGGGGGGAAGCAAGCCCGTGTTGAGGTAGTGCCCCGCACGGGGAGGGGGAGAAAGGGTCGTGGCAGGCAGCCTGACGGAGGAAACAACGTAGGGCAGGATACCCTTCCCCCTCGCCTTTCCACCTTCATCGCTGCAGTTGCTCATGTTTATTTGGTTCGGGGAGAAAGTGCTTCCTAGTGGGTGGAGTGGGGGGGCTGACTGCTGCCGGCATGCATGTCTATTTAGGGTCCCTGCTGCTGCTGTGCGCCTTGTCTTGGGCGACCTCTTGCCGCTGCCGACCTTCTCCTCCGTCCTTCCTCTCTGCTCCCCTCCTTCCCTCCCTCCCTCCGGCCGAGCCCTGGCTGAGGCAATGTCTGCCTGGAAGAGGTGGAGTCCTGGGAGAAAGGCGAGGAGGAGCTCCGGGTCCGGGGAGTAAGGCTGGCGGAGGCCCGAGAGAACCTGCAGAGGTGCCAAAGAGTAAACATTTCTCTCTCTCTCCCCCACCCCTCACTTCCCACACGCTTTCTGCTAAGTAATTCCAGCTGGAGGGAGAGTCCCCTCCTGACTTGCTTATCGAACAGCAGGAGGGGGGGGCAGGAAGGATGCCGCCCTCTCCTTTTGCATGTCACACCCCCCAAGTGGCGCATGCTTGTAGGTGTGGAGAAAGAGGAGGGGAGTGAGAGGAATCGGCCACATTAGGAAGGGATGGTGCTGTTTAGTGGGAAACCTAAACTTTGTGTCCTCTGGCACAGCTTCCAGACGTGGTCGAAAGAAGTGGGTCTCCTACATCCGTTCCCTTTCGGGCCTCCGTGTGTCCTCCCCCCTCCCCCTGCCTGCTCCCTTTGTCCCTTGGTAGAAGATTTACGGCATGCTTTGGGCTCCTGTGAGGATGGTGTGGTATGAAAACTGGAAAGGACAGGGCTGCTATGTTGTAGAAGCTGGATCTCAGTCAGATCCATCCATATGGTCGACCTTTGTTGTAAAAGTTTGTCTCTCTCTCTCTCTCTCTCTCTCTCTCTCTCACACACACACACACACACACACACACACACACACGCCCCGAGCCTTAATGGTTTATCCTTTGAAAGAATGTACTGTATAGCTTCACACATTCCGTCACGCAGTCCCGTGTTCTCTTGCCCACTCTTTCTTGCGAATATAGGATTTGGACCTCGGGGACGAGGTGTGTGTGTGGTGGTTGTGAGGCGTATGTTGCCTACAGTCAGACATTAGTGACTGTACACTCTGAAATGAGCCCCTTTGATTCCGAGTGGAGAAAGCCTAGAATTGCAAGACAAAAGCTACAGCTGAAAAACCTCTGGGAACTCGAAGGGTTTCTGTGCGTGTGTGTGTGTGTGTGTGTGTGTGTGTGAGAGAGAGAGAGAGAGAGTGAGTGTGTGTGTGTGTGTGAGAGAGAGAAGGTCTCGGTTGTATGCATTCTATTGCAACCCTTCCATACTTGGGTCCAAGCCCCCTTTAATCCAGTGAAGTCTACCCCTAGGTAAACATGTCTGAGAGTGAATTGTAAGACGTAATGGGACCAAAGCGGGTTTTATGGAGAGGGGTGAAGGGAATCGCTCCCCCCTCTGGGGCTTTGCTGTTCCCGTATTTATTATTATTAATTTTTTTAAATGAAACTAGGGGAAGGGAAGGAGTCGCCGGGATCGGCGCCTGTAAAAGCCCTTCCTGCTGGTGGTGCATGGGAAGAGAGAGGGGAGCTCGTGAAATCCGGGGAGCCTTCTTCGGTGGGGAGGAAGCGAAGCGACGTCCTTGCTTCGGGAGGCGGGGGAGGCAGAGAGAGCCCCCTTTTCAGACTCGAGCCGCGGCGCTAGAGAACAGGAAGGAGGGCTTTTCCTGCGGAACCTGCCGCTAAAGGAGGGAGGCTGTAGTGAATTTTCCCTGAAGGCGAGGGATGGGGAGGGCGGGATGAGGTGCTTCGCGATCCGTGCTGCAACCCAGCACTTTAGTGGCGGAGAAAGGGGAGGGGAAAAGCGGCGGCGGCGGCGGCGGCGGCGAGGCCAAAATTTAGTTCCGCCTCTTTCATTGATGAAATTTAAATTCTTGTGGTTTCTGCCTCTTAACCAGTTTGTCCCAGACCTTTATTTCCGAGGACAGATGCACGAAGGATCAGGGAGGAATCGGGCAGGCGCCGGAGCCTCGTAGAATTCCTTTGGAGGCTGGGGCGGGAGGGGGAAGCCGCGGGCGATTTTTTACCTTTGGGTTTGGTTGGATTTTTTTTTACTAAAATAGCCTTTTCACTTAACTGATTCTTTATAAACTGTTTAAGTAACAGCTGAGAAATAGCTGTTGTTAATAGCAACAAAGCGACAAGAACAACTCCCTCCCCACCCCATTTTCCTGAGCTATTTCTTTTTTTGTTCCTGATCGCGAGGGAAGGGGATCTTACATTTTTATATTTTGTAATAGAACTGTATTTTCATAAAGATTCAAAATGTCGTCGTTTGTAAAAGGTAAGTGCCAAGTATTGTTTTATTTCTGATGTGCTTAAAGCTCTCTCTCTGTGTGTGTGTGGTTGTGTGGTTGTGTGTGATTTGAATAGAGCTCTCTAGGCTTCCCAGGCAGTGGCTGCAGGAGTGCCCTGATGATAGTCGGTGGTAGAAGGAGGGAGCTTGAAAGAGAGTAGCAAGCACTTGGGCTAATTAAAGGTATTGGATCCCACTCCTGAGGGGGTTGGTTGCTCAGGTGACAGCAGCCACCGGTCTTTCTAGCTGCTGCCTCTTAAGCTTATATGTGTGAGTATGTTGGGCTCCTTTTTCTTATCTCTGAAGGCATAAGATCTGCAAAATCAGGCAGAGGCAGTTGCAGTTCCTAGCTGCGAATGTGGTATATTGTAGAAGTGGGTCTGTACTGAGTGGGCTGTCAGTCCAGATTTGTCACTAGGCCTTTCTGTTAACGTCTTGGTTCAGTAATGCTCCCTTAATAATTTAAGCACCAAGACCAATGTTCTGATAGTTTCAGGTGACTTTTAGTGCAAAACATCTCTGGAAGACTATGACTCTGTGTATGTGGTTTGAGTCTTAAAATTCCCTGTTGCAAAATTGGTAATAGTCCCTAAGAGGACAGGAAGGCGGGTGATTCCCATATAGCATTTTTCCTACTTTCAAGGAAATTATTCTTGTTACAATGTGTTCATTATTTTAAATGAATGGATCTTTGTGCCCTCTGGTGTGCCCCAATGGCTTGTTAGTAGAACTACTTCATTAATTGGTCAAATAGATGAATTATTCATTACCTGTATATAAAACAGTGCAGGATAATTTGATGTGAAATTATATATAAAAAGACAAATTTTGATTTTCTGTGTGGTACTGCTTGTATGCCACATATGCTGTTTGTAGACCTGCTGTGTAGCCTCTAAGCAGACTTGAGTAAACAGCTAAATGCAGAGATGATTGAACCTTGAAATGAGCAAACTGAAAGTGACCCACCCCTAACCAATAAATTCTGCTCTGCAAAGAGACTAACTTTAGAAAAAATGTATGTTGGATTTTTTTACTCTAATATTAAAGAGGCCATTTTGTGTAAGAATGGCTTTGTTTATGTTTCCCAGATTTGCCATTTGTATAGGATTACTAGCAAAGTGATTAGACATTAACATATAGTGGTTGTAAATTTCCATAATTGTGGACACACACACATTATTTCCCTGTTGTGAAGGCAACTCAGCATAGTATTTCCTGCCTGCTGACAAATCTTAGCTCTAGTCAATAGAAGTGAGGTGTTTTCAGTTCTACTTTTTTTTGCCACTGGTGAAATTACTTGAAACTATTAGCTTGGACCAGATTGCTTTAGGCCTTGTCATGTCAGATTTTACTCTTGTAAACACATTTTAACAGAGCTTGTAGAAATACATTGTAGAATATACAGCATACTTTGAACATTGTAAGAAAGTTAAAATATAGAATATGTCAATTATATGGCTTTATTTACTGAACAGTATTGACATGAAAGCAGGCATCATCTTTACGGATGCTCTGTGCTTTTCTCCCAGTATATTTGCAGTTTTAAAAATTGCAGTTTGAAGTACAATAGCTGCAGTAAATTCTTCCCAGTTGATTTGCAAATGGTTTTCAAGCATGTAGTCTGCTTGCCTGGAAGTACGCTTCATTGAACTCAGTGGGACTTATTTGAGAACGTATATATAGATTTGCGCTGGAAGAAGTCACTGTTGGCCTACTAACTAGTAACAGCTCATGTCCAACACATATGTATGTTTTGGGCCTTGGTTCTTGAGTCATAAAGCAGGGTTGCAATCTGTACATTTTTGGGACCACTTTGTGTGCTAAGAGGAAAAAAAGAACACTCTGGGCAACTTAGTTTTGTGCTAATATGGGTAAGCTTTATAATTTGGTGGGTTTTTTAAAATAAATCCTTGATAGCGTTACCAGGTACCAGTGTAGTGTAGTGGGTAGAGTAATGAACTGGGACTCGGAGACTTGGGTTTGATTCCCCAGCACTGCCATGGAAACTCACTGGCATGTGTGGAGCTGGTAAAACCATTCTTAAATACCTCATCTACCTTGAAAAGCCTATTAGGGTTGCTGTAAGTTAGTTTTGACTTGATGGCACTTAACAACAACAATGGTATTGCTCTTTCTTGTGATGACAAGTTATATGTAATATTTTTATGAATTGTGCTCTCTTTAGAGCAAATCAGGCTTATACCTAACATCAGGTGAAATATATTTAGAACATTGCCTCTCTGTTTATGAGGATATAGTGTTTTAGTTCTTGTTGGTTGATCTCCCCACCAGGAATGTAATTATATCTAGTGTCATACTTAATAACTTATTCTAGATATTCTAGCCAAAAACAATTGATGGACAGTTAATAGTCAGACTTCCTGCATCTAAGGAGATTGCATCAATTTGGTAATAATTCAATCAGAAAATTTGTACTAATGTAAAAAGGGAAAAATAATTGAATTTGGCCTTTATATTAAACCTTGTGATGCTGGTAACATTAAGGGAGAACTACGTGGCTGAAAAGGCACTGATAATGTCTTTAATCCTATTGCAGTTAGTGGGTTTTGCTTGGGAATAGACATGAACAGGAATTGAAATATCTTGTAGTGAATTGGCAGAATGCTTAACTCTTTCCTTAAAATCAGTTGGTCTTAAAAGTACCTGAATTTGGGTAAGCAATACCTAATGTTTTCTTTATACCCATTTCAGACTGTTGTTGTTTAATGTAGTTGACCTTTTGCACACTGTATTTTTGAGAGCTGGGAGTCAAGTTTTGTTGAGTTTCAAACTTTCCTCTTTTTTGTTGAAGTTCTGCTGGTGCTTGTGGATTTCAGTGGCTTCTCTGTGCAGTCTAACGTAATGATTGCTGGTGTTGTCCAGTATTTCAGTATTTTGAAATAGAATTTCATGTCCAGCTTGTTTTAGGGCATGTTCAGCTACTGCCGATTTTTCTGGTTTTTTTAGTCCGCAGTGTCTCTCATGTTCTTTGATTCTGGTGTGATGCTTCATTTTGTGGTTCCAATATATACCTGACCACAACTGCAAGGTATCCGGTATACTCCTGCAGTGGTGAAGTGGTTCCTTCTGTCCTTTGCTGACCGTAACATTTGTTGTATTTTTGTGGTGGGCCTGAATACTGTTTGTAGATTGCGTTTTTTCAAAAGTTTCCCCATGCGGTCCATGACCCCTTTAATGTCTGGCAGAAATACTTTATTTGTGGGTGGCTGTTTTTCTTCTTCAGTTTGGTGTTTTTTTTTCTTGGTTTGATGGCTCTTGTGATTCCATTTTTTGGAGTAGCTATTTGCCTGTAGGGCCCAATTCAGATGGTTGAGTTCAGTGCTGAGAAACTGAGCTTCACAGTTCCGTTGTTGTTTAGTTGTTAAGTCGTGCCTGCTCTTCATGACCTCATGGACCAGAGCACGCCAGGCCCTCTTGTCTCCCACTGCCTCCCGGAGTTTGGTCAAATTCATGTTGGTAGCTTCGATGACACTGTCCATCCTCCTCTTGCCTTCACACTTTCCCAACATCAGGGTCTTTTCCAGGGAGTTGAGTCTTCTCATGAGATAGCCAAAGTATTGGAACCGCAGCTTCAGGATCTGTCCTTCCAGTGAGCACTCAGGGTTGATTTCCTTCATTACCAGACTACATTGCTTATATATACAAGGAGTGCTTCCTAACACAGATAAAAATACTGTAATCATGCGCTGTCAAATCAATTCTTACTTATGGTGACCTTTTGCAGGCTTTTCCAGGAAGAGTATACTCAGTAGTAGTTTACCATTGCTAGCTTCTGGGTGCACTCAGGAACTGTGCAGTTTGGCTAAGACTTACACAGGCTGACTCTTCTCCCGGGAGACACAGTGGGATATTGAACTACCAGCCTCTGGGTTCACAGCCATGTACCTAAACCACTGAGCTATCTAGCCAGCTTACACAAATAGGCTTAGTATATAGTGGTTCATATCATTATGATTTGAACCTCCTCTTTTAGATATGTTGCTAGCCTTGTGGCAGGAATTAAGTCTGTAAAAGGAATCTGCTGCACTGGATTTTTGAGGTGGATTTTACCAGTTGGCATTATCTGGAAAAATGGATGCCAGACTATGTGTTTGGAAACCTGCATATTCCATGGCTTTGATTGATAAATGTGGATATTTGACAAGTATGCTTAAAAAAAGGTCTATTTTAAAAAGTGTGCCTATATGGTTTAGCAATTGTATAGGTAAAGGTAAAGTACATTAAAGTGCAAACATGTTAAAAAACACAGAAGATGAATTTGCTCTACCCCAGTTGTACACATACATGGTACAAACCAGGCAGAGGTGGAAAAATATGGAAGGTGGCAGAAATGGACTGGTGAGGTAAACACATGCCTAGAGTTAATAAGCAGGTAACCTGAAATATTATGTTCAGTTGTTACACGCATAATGGGTGATGCTTTTGAGAAATCGCACAGTCAAAAGAGTCTCTGCATGCAATATCATTTTCTAGGAAATATCTTGGTTGAAATCCAGATAGCTACACGATCTAAATAAAGTAAAAGAAAGGGGAGATATAGCACAGGTTCTGTATGTACAGGGTAACTCTGGAGTTGTGTTTCTTGAACAGCAGCCCCACATGCTGCATGGCAGGCTTCTATTGAAACTCAAGGGGGATGTGAAAAGTGTATGTTAAGTAGTACATAGGAGCTACTATTTAAAGTAAAAGAAAAGGAGGTATAATGCTGGGCCTTTTGTCATGTCTAAAATCACTGTTGGAGGCTTCATTCTGATACTTGCATTATCTTTTATTCTGGGGAAGGATTTGATTATATCTCTTCTACTAATGACGTTTGATTATAGAAAAGCTTTTGTTTGGGCACATTTTGATATGTTACCACCAGCCAGTTTATTAGGACACTATACACAAATTCTGTATCACGAGAGAGTTTGCTCTTGTGACCAAAAATCAGTGGAGAATTTGGCACATGTAGTACTCTATTGTGC